TTTTTCCAGTGGAGGAAAAAATGAGCCTTATGGAACTACTGTAGATTATTAGCAGAACTGAAAGGATCATTATGCTGGTTAAGTACTGTGGGGCAGTTCAGTGGCAATATGAAGGAATGTAAAGTATGGGGTTCACAAGAGGTTTCTTCTGCATCTGATTTCCTTCAAGGTTTCCATTCATGTTCTAGATGATATGCTATAGAAGTTGAAAATGTAATAAACCAGCAGGAAATGGGGAGAGTTGCAATATGGTTGATGAGAGTAGGATTTTCATAAAGTACATGAATCTCAAGTCTCTCAAATGTGGAATGAAATGCAGTAAGAACAAATGTAAGCTGCTATGTGACTGTAATAATCAGTTGAAATGCCCATGGAAGACTGGTACAGAGATAGGTGCAGAGCACAAGTCTCTGTCTCCCAGGAGCAGTTGGACACATGTTAGTGAGCTCTTCCATGAGATTATTTAGTTTCTTCTTGAATCCATTCACATGTTTAATGTTGGCAGCGTTGTTGGATTGCACTGGTACAGAATAGGTGATTTCTAAAGGTACTTTACAGCTTGCTTAGTTTATGATTTGATTGAAATGGGTCAGGAGTTATTGCTTATGATATTCTCATGGAGTACAGAGATATGCCATGGTGATGCTTGCAAATTATATATTTGGACTAATATTTGAGAATGGTGGTGTGCAAGACTCCCCCCGGTGTTTGCAGACTACCAGCGCGTGCTGTGGCAGGATTCTGTGCCATTTTACAGACATGAAATCTGTTTAAAAAACAAGTAAACCAACCAACCCCCAAAAGCTTGAGGATGGTTTTTTGGTCGCGAGGCAACCCTGTCAAAGCAATGGTACTTCCTTAGCCTAAACTGAAAAGTCTGTAAATAAGAGTCCTTAAGAAATGATAGTGGTTCTATAAAAATGTTAAAGTAAATATGTTAAAGTTCTGTTGTTATAGTAAGTTTGATAACTCTGTGAGAAATCTGCAGGTGAAATTTGTGTTAGGAATAATGAAGTTTTGGATCCGCATTTAATGTATCACTTCTTGGCACTATCCCATTATGGTTCATTTAGTAATGGGGATTTTCTTGTACATGTCCCAAAGAAATGGAGTTTATGGGCACAGCCCTATGAGCGGTTGCCTGTGGGGTTGATTTTCTGTGGTCCCTTTTGGTTTCAGTATGGCATCTGCACTGCAGTGAGATTGTATCATTTTTATCTCCCAGGAGTCATTACCTTTTCTGGAAAGGATTATAAATTACTGGGAGTGGATTTGTCAGAGCTGTCTCAGCTGGAGAGAGCCCTGGTGGAATGGACAGTGAAATGCCCACCCTCTTTGTAGCAGAGGTGGTGCTCACCTACATGGAAAATAGCAGGTCAGTTGAGTTTTCCCCTGTTAGCTAGGTGGTAAAATGAAAAGAGTAAGCTTCTTTGTATGTATGTCACCTGGGGCTGTCCTGTTACAAGACCTGCTGTCTTGTAACTATTCTCAGGAATTCTGTGGCAGTCCTCAGCAGCTCCTTGGATCATGATTGTGATGGGGTAATCATGACATACTAAAATGGAGGGGAGGAAAAAAAGAAGAGAAACCTTGAATGAGTGAATTTTTTTTGAGTTTTTTGGTGTTCTCATCCCCTGAATTCTCTGCACAGATGAGGGAGATGTTCGTAAGTCCCCAGCACAGGATTCTGTATTGTGTATTGCCTCGGTCGAGATGCCTTAATAGCATGCTTTATGGTGTTGCAGGAGGATATATTGCATCTGCCATTGATAAGTGGGCCCTAAATTGTTTGATTTCTGATGCACGATCTGCCTGACAGGTCTGATGCCCTGATTCAGTGGGCAGCAGAGCATTTCTCTCGGGTGTGCTTTCTGCTGTATGAGCAGATGCACCCAGAGGACCCCTTTGGACATGTCATGCAGCAGCATTTTAACCAGCTGAACTCTACACTTCATTCTGTGGCACAGTACCCTGATTGTGAGGCACAGCAGAAGCGCTTCTTGACAAAGGTGAGTACCTGTGGCTCTGGGCACATGTGAAGCACCTGGGAAAGATTGTCACATGAAATAATTCGGGAAGTCACCAGCTGTGTCAGTTATGGGTTGAAGTAGACAAAGGCCACAGCTGAGACACTGCCTTTTCTACTAGCATGACTAGTAATTTGAGGGTCCTTCCAACCAACTTGCAGCTTCCTTTGTGTATGGGATTAAGGCAAGTTAATCTTAAATTCCTTTAAGACTTTTGACACAACAAATTAAGTTTTTTAACAGCTTTACAGGTAAGAGACCTATCCTCACCAGATGCTGGGCTGATGTTGTTCCAGCTAGACAGCTTATGGTTTATGCAGGTGTTTAATTTAGGGTCTTAATTTTCTTGTGGGAAGTGAGTCTCTATCCTTCAGAGGTAATCATTTTGAGGCATTTCTGTTTCAGGGCTGGACTGAGTGCAGTGTCATGGATATGAATGAGTTTTTCACCTGTTGTACTCCAGAAGATGAGCAGCAAAGAGTGCAGGCTCTGGAGCCTTTTGATGAATATGAGGTAACCCTCCTTTATTCTGAACACCAGTGACCTGGCTAGTAGATCCTTCCTACTGCTTGCTCTTCAGATTTTTAAGGGGGGATTGCTTTCATTTTTTTTCTTTGGGTCTGCTACAGGAATGGCATCTGAAATGTTCTCATTACTTTGTCTTGACTGCATCAAAGGGGATGGAACCTTCCTGGACGCCGTTGTTACCCAGCATGACAGGTACATACCCACTAGTTTTTGGAGTATTCTTTCATCTCATGCAGACGTCCTTGAGGGGTTTTAGGAGACAGTAAAACCCTGTAAGGACCTGACCAGGTGCATCATCTGAGTAGCTTTCTCCATCCTTCTAACAGTGGTTCTGCTGTCCATAGTGAAGCCAGGGCAATTGCCTGACGCTGGTGGTTCTGACCAGTTTCATTCTTTCAGATTATTGAACCTTCCAGTCTGATCAGCTCTTCCTTCTGTTTATACATGGGGCCCTCCAGTGCGTGACTGCAATGCCAGTCTACCCTGCTTCTCCTCCTATTTTTGGGATCACACAGGTTCTCAGTTTTCAATGTATTCCCACTTGCTTCCATATGTGGCTCTCTCTGAGCCATTCCACCCTTCCAGCTCCCAAAAGGTTGTTACGTTTTACTTCCTGTGCTATCAGAATGTTGTCCAACAGAGCACTCAGGAGTGTGTCACAAAGGTTGTGCTTTGGTTTGTTATGCCCTGTGGGTGGAATTGTACATGTAATATTTCTGGGTTTGAAATGTGTTTTAATCTGTATGTTGTTTTTTTTAGATGGGAGAAAAGTGGGGGAAAGCCAAGACCGAGACTGCATTCCCATCCTAAAAAGTACTTGGCAGCAGAAGCAGTCCAAGAAATTCCTGGTTTTGGCTGCTTGCTTCCTTTTTCAGGATGGAAAGCACAAGGTTATTTTTAATGAAAGTGATGTTTCACATCACTAGTCTTGTTTGTGGTATAGTACCACAAGTACTTGTGTCTGCAACTGGAAGTTAAAAGCTGTGTTCCAAGGGGCAGGAAAAGCAGCTGGAAAAGGATAAGGCAGGATGGCATTCCTTAAGCCAACAGGGCCACTGAATTCATTATATTGTGTTTTGGTTACATTTGAAAACATGTAGTGAAATCAAAACTAAGTGAATGTGCATGTGGTTAAATATATTGTGTGATTGTCACTGGTCCTTATGTTAAAACCTTAAAGGTTCCTGAATGTCTAGGATCTGTCCTTAAGTTAAAAAGAAAAAAATAAAATCTGACATTTGCTTGACTGACATTAATACAGTCAAGACACTTCATTCGTTAGAGACACGAATAGGGTCTTGCTGCTTCTGTCTCTGTTGGATTCACAACTGATAGCCAGAGCCTTCAAAGTTGGGTAAATTATCCTTGCTTAGATATTTTTTACTGGGAATGGCAAAAGGTCGGTCTCAAATACCAGTCTTTGCCCCAGCTCTCCTCTCAAATAGATTTAGGTCCCTGTTCAAGAGAGATGCAAGTACTGTATCTTCAAAACAGAGCATGGGAAATATATTTTCTAAAATGAAAACCCCTCAGTCTTAAAAAGATGCATCTGTAGAAAGACATGCGAGCCCAAGAAAATGCAGTCATCAAACAATAGGAAGTAGGGTCTTGTACTAAACAACATTTGGTATAGACAGTTTTTCTGGGTATGGCATACAAAAGTAGACTGAGAACTGCTTCTCCTCCACCTCATCATCTCTTACAGAATGAGGATGAGACACTTGATTAAAACAAAGAAACTGATTAAAAGAAATATCTCTCTTTGGGTGTGGGTGTAGGTGTATAGATATGTATCTATATATATCAAAAGCAATGGTATATTGAAAAATGATGTGAGATCTGAGCATGACGTGAATGGCATGGAATAAGGGGTGGATACTGTCCTGGGTTCAGCTACAGCAGTCATTTTTTCTCCTTCTTAGTAGCTGGTGCAGTGCTGTGTTTTTGACTTTCAGTCTGGGAACAATGCTGATAACACCGATGTTTTTAGTTGTTGCTCAGTAATGTTTACTCTGACCAAGGACTTTCTCAGTCTCGTGCTTTGCCAGAGAGGAGGGGAAGCCAGGAGGAAGCAGAGACAGGACACCTGACCCAAACTGGCCAAAGGGCTATTCCATACCACAGCACGTCATGCCCAGTATATAAACTGGGGGGCGTTACCCGGAAGGCCCAGATCGCTGCTCGGGTCGGGCTGGGTATCGGTCGGCGGGTGGTGAGCGGTTGTATGTATAGGTGGGCAAGAGTCCCGTGATGGAATCTTGTTTTGTACTAAGTGATACAGGATTTAAAGGGAAGATATTTAGACAACTGAAAATACTCTCTTGTAATAGGACCATTGGAATTAACAGAGATTGTCATGCTTTAGAACTTTATTTCAATGCTTTTATGAAGGTAGGATCAAAATCTAGCAAGAAACTTTGAAATCCAGCTTCCAGGTCCTGTTTCTGCTGTTTTTTGCTATTTAAGTAGCCAAATACTGTCTTCATCAGAAAGGTATTCTTCTTGATGGTGTTGCAGTGATTGCTACCTTGCTACAGCAGTTCAGGACACTGCAGTCTCTTAGCAGTATTACCTCCACCACATTAAAGTAGTCTCAGAACCGTGTCAGGAATTGAGGGAGCAGTCAGCAGAAGTTGCAAGTTGGCAGTTTAAACTATTACAGCTTGATTTCTAGGGCATCTCAGATTCTCTGTGCTCTGTCAACTTGCTTCATAATCTTTTCTTCTTGAAAAGCTGAAGACTTGCTTTATCTCCCATCTCATTAATTAATTTAAAATGTACTCCTTGGTTCTTGTTTATGTTGAGATCTTTGGTTCTCTCTGGCTTACAGTTCCTCATGGTGCTGTTGGGATGGCTGGGAGTGTCCCTGCAGTGTGTGTGATGCGCTCTGACACTTCTGGCCTGAGACGTTACGGTCACCGCTCTGTTCTTCTAAAACCCGATGTGATCCTCGTCACTGGAGGCTTTGGGGAGGAGGATGGACAACACTGCCGGATGAGGAATTTTCATGTGCTAATAAAACATGCAGGCTGCTGGAAAGCTGGCTGTGTGAAGAAAGAAAATCTTGGTGGAGATTCCCATACTGATACCAAGTGTAAGGAAGATGTTTTTGTGTAACAACAAATCCTGTCTAGTGGAAACCTAATGTCACAATACAGTTATGTTGGCAGTCAGAGAGATCTGAAGGTTCTGAATGCTACATGTCAGGTCCTGCACTTGGGCCACAACAACCCCCATGGAACACTCCAGGCTTGGGGAATTGTGGCTGGAAAGCTGCTCATGGAAAGGACCTGGGGTGCTGATTGACAGAGCTGAACATGAGCAGGTGGTGTACAGCCAGCCAAAAAGCCACCAGCATCCTGGCCTGTGTCAGCACCAGTGTGGCAGCAGGGCCAAGGCAGTGGTTGTCCCCTTGTGCTGGGCACTGGTGAGGTCGCACCTCGAATCCTGTGTCAGTTCTGGGCCCCTCACTGCAAGAGGGACATTGAGGTGCTGGAGCGGGGCTAGAGAAGGGCACCAGAGCTGGAGCAGGGCCTGGAGCACAAGTGTGATGAGGAAGGGCTGAGGGACCTGGGGGGGTTTAGTGTGGAGAAGAGAAGGCTCAGAGGGGACCTGATCGCTCTCTGCAACTGCCTGACAGGAGGATGGAGCCAGGAGGGGGCTGGTCTCTGCTCCCAAGGAACAAGGGACAGAGCAAACAGCCTTAAGCTGCGCCAGGGGAGGTTTAGACTGGAGATCAGGAACAATTTCTTCCTCAAAAGGGTTATTGAGCATTGGAACAGGCTGCCCAGGGCGGTGGTGGAATCACCGTTCTTGGAGGTATTTAAAAGACTTGTAGATGTGGTGCTTGTGGGACTTGGCAGTGTTATGTTTATGGTTGGACTCAATGATCTTAAGGGTGTTTTCCAAGTTAAGTGATTCTAAAATTCTGTAAATTTAATGGGAGAAAAATACGTGTGAACTGTAATGTTTTGTATCTCTGCAGATGAGCGGCTGTACCATACTGTGTCATGTGTCTCCAACAGTCTGGCCCTGGTGGTAGGAGGACGAACATCCCCATCGAGTGCAGGTTTGGGAATGTTGTGGCTGAAGTTCCATGAAACCTGTAATGCCTCAGACCCAGGTGACGTTACAGTGGAGCTTCTAAGTCTGCAGCCTGCTGCTGAGCCAGCTGCTTTGCGTTGGAGACACAGCACAACTGAAGTGATGTTCAAAGGTAAAAAACCCAGAAATGGCTGTAGGCATGCCGAAGTATGCAAATTCCAGAATATATGGGGCCAAAACCCCCTCAGAATGCATTTTTGAACGTGCTGCAATGTATACTTGCAACTGCAGTTTGCTTGGCTCTCCTCACAAACATCTAACCATAAAGGTCTCATTTCAGCTGTTACTTTGTAAGGTGCAAGATGTGACCAGACAGGCACGCTGACCAGCAACCAGTTTACGTGTGACTAGCCCATTTGATGCTTTTAACCCTCTGTCTTCCTTTAACCCTCCCCGAATCACCTAAATCCATCCCTTTTGCTGCCTCTGGTTCCTCTCCTGGGCATCCCATAATAAGTCTTATGCAAACCCCAAGTACTTTTCCCCTGCATCTTGTAATGAGTCTCATGCCCCTAGGCAGTTCCCCCTCAAAGGTGCTCCAGAGAGTTGCTCCTGTTCACTGATTTCAATAGGTCTCACAATGGGGCTGAGAGTTCTCTGGGACAGATCTGGGAGGAGCCCAGGCAAATTGTCTCATTTTATAAATATGTGATTGGGGTTCTCTAGCCTGCAGACCTGCCGCTGCCTTTCTGTGCTCTTGCTGGTCATGAGGAGACCATAGGATCATAGAATAGTTAGGGTTGGA